CGCGGGGCCCCGGGGAGGAGAGAGGTCCGGGGACTGCCCAAGCTGGGCCCACCCCTACCGGCGAGACCCCGACTCCGCCCCGCGACTCACCGAGACGCGAATCTAGCTTTGGTCGTTGCAACCTAGACCCCACCGGCCGGGAACTACGTCACTGCCACGTACACCTCGCGTAACACGTCAACGCGCCACGCACATACGTGCCCCGCCCCCTCCCCAGGGGAGCGAGAGTTTAAAGGGGCCGCGATTATCCGCGAACTTTCTTTTCCCTGGTGACCTCGGCTCGGCGGCCTGGCCGGGTCACGGGCCCGGGCCCGGGCCAGGCCCCAAACGGCCCATGCGGAGCTGGGCTCCTCAAACACACTCCGCAGGGACTACGGTCCTACCCCCCCAACCCTGCCCCTACAGCCCCCCCTGCCGTGATTCCCAACCCTACAGCAACAGCTACCCCTGCTGTGGGGGCCTTCTCCCTTACAGCCTCCCCCAACATGGGGGCCTGCTCTGCAACCCTGCCCCTTCAGCCCCCCCCAACATGGGGGCCTGCCCCCCATCATAAAACCATAGAGCTGGAAGAGACCTCAGAAGGTCATCAAGTCCACCCCCCTGCTCTAGGCAGGACCAATCCCAACTAAATCAACCCGGCCAGGGCTTTGTCAAGCCGAGACTTAAACACCTCTAGAGATGGAGACTCCACTACTTCCCTAGGTAACCCATTCCAGTGCTTCACCACCCTCCTAGTGCCGCTACAGCCCCCCTTCTGTGGGGACCTTCTCCCTTACAGCCTCCCTCAACATGGGGGCCTGCTCCCCAAGCCTGCCCCTATAGGCCCCCAACATGGGGGCCTGGTCCCCAGTACTGTCCAGGGCAGAAGGCCCAGCCCAGACACAGCTGTGAAAGTTATGTTTATTCCCCATCTCTGTTAGTTGCAAGGCAGCTGTCGTGGGGCGGGGGCTCAGCCTTCAGAGGGCTGTTCTCGGGGTCAGACTCGCTGGGCTCCGGCAGCGCAGTGACTGAGGTAGCGCTCTTGGTGCTCCGTATGGAATCACGCCGGTTGCCAAAGATGGAGACGCGTCTCCAAATGATCCGGATCTTGAGGCTGTCCGAGGAACGCACCGCTGGGGCAGAGTCCACGATCCGCAGCTGCTTGCACCTAGGCCTGCGCTTGCTGTCTGCAAAGGAGGAGTGTAGACTATCAGCATGTTGACCAGACTGCCCAGCCATCCCTCTGCTTGGGATTATTTATACAGATATTATCATGACACTGATTTAACCATTAATTCCTTTATTAAATCCAAAAGCCAAATAATATTTATACAATTGCTCAAAACATACCTACAAGGCCTAAATAATAAGCAATTTGCCACATCTAGACAAAAACAAAACATTCATAAATATTTGATCAAGAAACTTACAAATGATCTAAACCAAGGGGGTACCAGTCAGCTTCAACATGGCCAAACAGTATATTGGCAATGCACAAAACTTTGAGATAACCTTTTAACAAACAAGTGATGTCTGGAAGCCAGGTACAGACTACAGTTAAAACCAATTGGAGACAGGTCATCTTTATTCCCTGGCTTAATCCAGACAATGTTTACAACCTCTTTTCCCTCCTTCCTGCTTATCAACAGTTTTTCCTTTGTGTCCAGCCGTGAAAGTAAATTAAAAATGTCTACAGGTACTGTCCTATTGTAACCCAGGTCCCCGCCAGCTCTTTAAATAGCTCCCTGCTAGCTTTTGCTACAGCTCAGCCAGCTCTTGCTAGAGCTATGCACCAGGGTGCATCTGCTTAGTTTCACCTGTTTGCTCCTGGGTTCACACGGGGCTCTTAATTTTTATAACAACATTGGTTGGTGCGGTGGGAAGGGCTATGTTGGCTCATGCTAAAACAGAATCTCTTTGTTTTATTTAAAACTATCTGCCATCACCCCTCCCAGTCAGAGGCCTTCTCTTCAGAAATATCCTTTCATTTCATTAGTTATTCTTTGAACCAGGCATCCGCCCTACTTCATCGCTTCTGGCCCTGTAACTAATTACTTTTGTGGCCTTTCTTTACAACACACATCTTTCTTCAGCTGAATGTAAGCTAACTTTAATTTCCTAATTTTTATTTATTCTACATTCCCTACTTTGAAATCCAACATACTATGTGGGTTTTACTACATTAAAGCATTTCAAACATACTTCTACAATTTTGGAAAATGGTATCCAACTGCCAAACTTTGCAATATAGAATTAACAGAATAATTATCACAATAATGTAATTACCAAACCGTTAAAATAACCACCTTTACTATGGATGTAATTCCACACTATGGCTATGTCTACACTCGCGGCTTCTTGCGCAAGTAATATGCAAATGAGGCTAAGCATGGAATATTGCCGAGCCTCATTTGCATATCTAATGAGCCACCATTTTTTTCAGAAGAGGCTCTTCCGCAAGAAGGAGCCATTACACCTATTACTTTTCAGGAAGAACAGCATTGCGCAAGAGGGTTTTTCTTGCGCAAGAAGGGGCAGTGTAGACGCTCCTTCTTGCGCAAGAGCCTCTTCTGAAAAAAATGGCTCATTAGGTATGCAAATGAGGCTTGGCGATATGCCACGCTTAGCCTCATTTGCATATTACTCGCACAAGAAGCCGCGAGTGTAGACATAGCCTATAAGCTTGCTCTGCCTTTAAAACATGCTTCTGCAATTTTATCTTTGCCTATGTTTCAATTATATTATACAAAACTAGTATAAAATATATAAATCTTTCCATTTATCACCACTGGAAATTCAGGTGTGAAATAGAACATAAGCCAATTCAAATAGCATCCTCTGTGTCCATAGTAGAAATGGCCCTTTCCCGTCACCACACGATACTGGCCATTAGCAACATAGGCACTTTTTACTTCACCAGCTTCCCAGTGTCTCAGCCATACTGAGTGGTTTGGAGACTGCTTCCTCAGAGTGAACCTACAGGCTGGCAGCTGTGACAGTAAGACATTACACCCACCCATGAAAGGTCCTCAGGCGCAAACCCAGATCTTGTCACTACCATGCAACACCATGGCTACATCTACACTGGCAGCTTCTTGCGCAAGAACTGTTTTGCGGAAGAGTTCTTGCGCAAAAAGTCTTCCACAAGAGCGCATCTACACTGGCATGTGCTTTGGCACAAGAGACGTGCTTTTGCGCAAGAGCGTCTATGGCAGTCTATGGCCATATGGTCTTCTGCCATTTTAGCCATAGGGGTTTCTTGCACAAGAAATTCATGTCGCCTGTCTACACTGCCCTCTTGTGCAAGAGCTCTTGCACAAGAGGGCTTATTCCTCGTGGGGAGAAGAATAACTCTTCCGGAAGAAGCCCTGTTTTCTGACGCTGTACTGTAAATTTACTTGCGCAAGAACGTGTGTACTGTGTAGACACCCAGCAAGTTTTTGCACAAGAACAGCTGTTCTTGCGCAAGAAGCCGCCAGTGTAGACGTAGCCATGCATATGTGTCACAGTACTTTCCAGTACTCACACTGGTAACACTTTGGTCAAGGCTTTCTTTTTTCACAAACTTTATGGTATTGTAATCTTGTTCCTTTCTTGCCTTGCACCTATTATAATTGCCTCCCTTGTACCAAATCTTTAACTTTTCTGTGGTGCTAAAAGAGGGCAATCTTCTTTCTTCTGTCATTTAAGGATGCTTTCACTTTATATAGCATGTATTTATAGTATATTATTAGTGTTATTGTTTTTGATCTTTCCTGGTAGCAAATTAATTTTATCATGTGCATGTACAAAAAATGACCACATCATGCCTATGAAACAATTCAATGCTTTTGTCAATAAATTCTTTGCTTTGTTAATTTTGAAAATACAATATTCTAGGTACTAACTTGTTGAAAACACTTCCTCATTTAGTGGATGCAATCCTTCTGCTGCTAACTTCTGTTAAAATGCTTGCTCATATTCCCACAGCCACTCTATGTGAGCTTGGTTTCAAAGTGACATACCAATCCCAAATAGTTTAGTTTAGTTTGCCAATTTTATTAGTTCCCTTCAGTTTTGCTGCTGTCCCATCTTGGCGGGTTTAAGCATTTTAAAGTTTAAATTATTGTCTGTAAAGTCCTTTTAATGATCTGTAGCCATTTTTTACCAAATTGCAGTGACAGTGAAATTCAGTAAAATTAGTGCATGAATAAGTTACCCATTATTATACAATATCTTCTTAATAGATTTAGCCCTAAATCATTATTTGGATTTTTATTTTAAGGCATTTTAATCTTGTATACAATTAGCTTTAGTAGAATTATTCTTTTTCTATTTTTATAAAACACTGCCACGTAGGTTTGTACTCCCTTGATAACATTTTCTTTATACCATGGTTAAACAAAAAACTATTGGACGTATTTTGAATGGTTAAGCTTAGTTTCTTATATTTACTGATCTTCCTTGATTCTGGGTTTGCTTCTGTTTCCAAAGTACACAGCCATCTGAAAAAGAAAACACAACCTATTCTGGCTCCTCTTTGGAGCTGATACAGGATTTTAATGAAATAAATCTTTTTTATTTTACTCAGAAGTGAAAGTAACTTAAAATTTCTTACAGGTATAGTCCTATTGCAACTCGGGCCCCTGCCAGCTCTTTAAATAGCTCCCTTCAGGCTTGTGCCACAGCTCAGCCAGCTCTTGCCAGAGCTGTACGCCAGGGTGCACCTGCTTACTTTCACCTCTGTTTTTACCCCTTTTACAGTATACACTGCATATTCCATTAGGGAATGCACATTCCTTCCACAGTGTAACATCCATTGTTATTTGCTATAACATTAGCTATATCAGCTTTCATATGAAGTGTAACTATTTTTGTTTACAGCGTTTCCATCTACCTTTACCAAAGTGACTGATTATTACTCAAAATCGTTTTAAGGCTTCATATTCCTACATCGTTTTAAGGCTTCTTGTACTCCTTTCCATTGCTGTTGCCCCAGAAGTGCAGTGTTTTTTTAATTTTTCATTCTTCTCCTGTAGTTCTTTTACCTGCTGTTTTATTACTGCAAAAAGATCAGTCTCTCCCCACTAGCCAGGTTCTGACCTTCTGGCCTCTGCCATGTCCTCCAGCCCTTATTTAAAAGGATATTTAATTTTCTAAAAGTACCGAGGCACCCACAGGTTTAAATGCTAAATAGCAAAGTCAGATAACACTAGCTACGTGTATTTGGCAAAAGTATCTGT